ACCAACATTGTAAAGCTCGTTTTCCCGTTTTTTTGTTTGTTTTGTTTTTGTTTTTTTGGTCAGTCATGGGGCTTGAACTCTGGGCTTGAGCTCTGTCCCTGTGCTCTTCAGCTCAGGGCAAGCACTCTACTGCTTGAGCCACAGCGCCACTTCTGGTTTTCTACTGGTTTATTGGAGATAGAGGCTCACAGACTTTTCTGCCCAGGCTGGCTCTGAACCATGATCCTCAGATCTCAGCCTCCTGAGTAGCTAGTATGACAGAGGTGAGCCATCAGCGCCCGGCTCCAGTATTTTTATATGTAGTTTGTTGGCACTTTGTATTACAAATAATGTTGTGCTAATTATTCTTTCTCTGAATTTTGCCTCCAACTGGCCTTGAATAGAGGGCCTTTGGCCACTGTTGGGAATACGAACATGAATCACTATATTTACCTTTCTCTGAATTTTTGTTTTCTATTCTTAGGATAAGTTTCTAGAAGTATAATTTTTCCTGGATTATAAGTATTTTTTAAATTTGTGGTGTATATTCCAAACTCAAAAGATCATAAACTGTATGGGCCTATTTTTATGAACTTGTAGATAATAAAACTGTATTTTAAGTAGAATAAATAGAAAAGGCAGAAGAGGAGGAGGAAAAAAGAAAGGATTGTATCTAGAGAACAGGATTTCCTAGGACAGGCACAGAAGGAGCTTTCTGGAGCGAGCGGGAGATAGATCCTGTGTGTTATTGTACAGTATGATTGCACAAGTGTGCTCATTTATCTAAATCTAATTTGACACTTAAGGTTTGAATATTTTACTAGATGGAAATTTTTGTAACAAAACAAAAAAAATCATTAAACAAGTTAATTTTCAGGGCTGGGAAGGTGCTCAGTGGTAGAGTGCTAGCCTTGAGCTGAAGAGCTGAGGGACAACACTCAGGCCCAGAGTTCAGGCCCCACGACCGACCAATAAAAAAAAAAAGAAAAAAAGTTAATTTTCTTAGGGAATTTTCTGCTTTTTGTTTCAGGAAATGGATTGAAGATGCTCATGAAAAGGGCCCTAAAGTTCAAGGACCCATTACTGATGAAAATGATTAGGAACATTTCCCAGCATGACGGACCGACCAAAAAGCTGTTTATTGTAAATATAGTTTCTTTGTTTTCTAGTAAAGTGGATCTGATGCTTGTAAATTGTACATTGATAATTGTACATTTATACATTTAGAAAGATAATTATTACTGAGCTCTAATCAAATATTCATGACTAAATTGGTTCTTCCGTTTTAAACCTCCTTGTAAGTTTAGCTCTTGGAAATCCCAGTCTGCACTGTAAGGTGGTGGTTTGGGTTTGTTGTCTATTCTCAAACCCTCCATTCGGTGGGCATCACCAGGAGGCTCTCTGAGGACACTAAGTCCAGAGTATTAAACATTAAGAATTTCTTCTGATACTTATGTTTTTTCCCATGGTAAACTTACCACACTTGCTCTTCTCAGAGATAATATTTTAACTGTTGAAATTCTACTGTCCTCAGGATTATGTTGGGGACCTTGCAGCTCAGATCTCCAGTGATGAAGAGGAGGAATTTGTGATTGAGTGTTTGGGAACTCTGGCAAATCTTACCATTCCAGATTTAGACTGGGAACTGGTTCTGAAGGAGTACAAGCTAGTTCCATACCTTAAGGATAAACTAAAGCCAGGTCTGTGCTGAGTATTTCACATTTCACTTTTGCATCATTATTCTAAAGATAAAGCTGTTAAAATAACACTGTGGTTACTGTTGTTTAAGCAAAGTATATTCTTACCATAATTCCATTCTCAAAAGGGTTCTACTGTCCTGTCTTACCTATATATTCTCGTTTCCATAACAAAATATTTTCTTGGTATTAGTTTCCCTTCCCTTTTTCTTAAAACTTTTTTAGTTGTCTCTTTATAAGTTACCAAATACCACCTCCTTCTCAAGTAGATAGATTCTCTTTCTCTCTCTCTCTCTCTCTTTCTCTCTCTCTCTCTCACACACACACACACAGCTCTTTGAAATATTCAAAATACTTTATTTTCTGCCTATGTTATCATTCAGTAGTATTTTCAAAGTTGTCATCAGCAAAGATGGAAAATTTGGCAAAATAAAAAATTTATAACTATGTCAAAGATTCACAAGAACTTATTTTTTACTGCTTCATTGTCCTTATGCATTGAAGTTTTGATAATACAAGTAGGTGTCAATCAGGACATGTTAATGAAAATTTTCTACAATTGCCTTTCATAGGTACTGCAGAAGATGACCTTGTTTTAGAAGTGGTGATAATGATTGGAACTGTGTCTATGGATGATTCTTGTGCTGCACTGCTAGCTAAATCTGGGATAATCCCTGCACTGATTGAATTGCTCAATGGTAATTAAAGTTTTTCATGTTAATGTCTAAAAATGTTATTTTAAAATTTAAATCTCAAAGTCTGCAACATGAAAGAGTATTACATTACCTTGTTATATTAATCATAGAAACTTATATAGTTAATTTAGGAAAATGAATTAAAACACATGCGAAGGTACATACCTGTAATTCTAGCTTCTTGGAGGCAAGACAGGGAGATGGTAATTTTCGGACCAGTCTGTAGTGAATTTGATTAAATAGCAAGACTCTATCTCAAAGCAACAAAATGAAGCAAGGAATAAACTAAGGTTGGATAGAGAAATTTGAGAGAGACTTAGGTTGCAAAGTTAAGAATATTGGCATAAAGTAATTCAGAAATAATTGTATAGACAATTACCTACAAATAGTACTGCATCATTTCTTCTTTCTGTCCAACTTTGCATTTGGTTTTCTGTGTTGATGAAATTGTTGTATGCTATCCAGCCTGCATAGCTATCAAACACTGTCAGAACCGAGAACCACAATTTTATTATTTTGGTGGGGGGGAGGTCGGTTGTGGGGCTTGAACTCTGGGCCTGGGTGCTGTCCCTCAGCTCTTCAGCTCAAAGCTAGCGCTCTACCACTTGAGCCACAGCGCCACTTCCGTTTTTCTGGTGGTTTATTGGAGATAAGAGTCTCATGGCCTTTCCTTCCTGGGGCTGGCTTTGAACCTCGATCCTCAGATCTCAGCCTCCTGAGTAGCTAGGATTACAGGTGTGAGCCACCGGTGCCCAGCTAGAACCACAATTTTAATTTAATTTTCATGTAATTAGCTGTCCTAGCATGTAGCTACAGTAGACATCATAGGCCTCGAGTCATACCCTTGTGTTTGTATTGCTCACACAAAGCCGGGGCACATTGTTCTCCAAAATCCACACAGAATTTACACAAATGAAATATCAGTGCCAAGTTCTGTAGCATCTTATACTTTAAAAGCAGCTAGTAATATTAAAATTTAAAATGTGAATATGAGGCATCTAAAGAATACAATATATTGTTTTACCCACATAGGGAAGTAAAAATTGTCAGTATCACAGAATTACCTATTTCCTTTCCCAATCATTACAACCTCCACCAAAGTGGTCATTATCTTATCATAGATAAATTCATTTTGCTTGAGTTTTAACTTGACATAAGTAAAATCTGGCTTATTTTGTCCTACATTATATTTGTGGGACTCATCTATGTTATTTACAGAAGTTTATTCATTTTTTATTGCTGTGTATAGTACTATATTATAAAAATATATCATTTCCTTTGTACTGTCCGTGGGTAGTAGGGCTAAGTTTTGTGGAGTTTGTTTTAGGGGAAGACTATTTTTAATAATATTCCTGAAGAGTATATTAAACTTTTTATTTGGTAAACATATGTAGTCATTTCTATTAGATACATACATCAGAGTAGAATTCCTAGGCCAAAGAGTGTGTATGTGATTGGCTTTAATAAGTGCTGCCAATCTGTTTACCAAAGTAGCTGGGTGAATTTTCAGCCAAGAAATCAAAGTAGGAGGGTTACAGTTGTTCTGTATCACTACAACTCTGAGCATTGTTGTCCCTTTAATTGTAGTCTTCTTAATGTGATCTCATTGTAGTTTTAATTTGCCTTTCCCAAATGATTAATGAAATTGAGCACTTGTTTGTGTTTATTGATCAGTTAGATATGGACAGGGGAATGAAATGCTTTTTAAAGTACTTTATACCTTTGTCTCTTGATTTTTTAAAATTTGCATTGTAAACTTTTAACACAATATATCTTAATAGACATAATGCCAGTTTTTTGTTGTTGTTGTAGTTCTTGTTTTGTTGTCGGTTGTGGGGCCTGAACTCTGAACCTGGGCCCTGTCCCTCAGCTCTTCAGCTCAAGGCTAGTGCTTTATCACTGGAGCCACAGCGCCCACTTCTGGCTTTTTCTGCTTATGTGGTGCTGAGGAATCGAACCCAGGGCCTCATGCATGAGGCAGGCACTCTACCACTGAGCCACCTTGCCAGCCCCTGCCATATTTTTTAAGTATTCCTTTTAAAATGATCCATATGTGTTTACTTTGAATATACCCTTCTCACAGAGTGTTTTTATATTAGAAGTAATTAAGTAAGATACTGAGATACTAGAGAGTTGAGGGGGGTGAAGGAAAGATGGTAGAATAAATGAGAATAAGGATTTCATGGAGAGCTGGTGAAAGTTGAAGCATTCTTTGCTCTGGAATTGCTTCCTACAGTGACTTGAGAGAATTTAGCTGTAGATTAAGCAAAGTTAACAAAGCCAGCTTAGTGTTTTAAAGTGTTTTGATGTTCTCTGGTGTGAGGTTATTATATCATGGACAATGTGATATTCTTTTAAGGAAGTATATATTGGTTTTTCAAGGTTAAGAAAGAAAACTTTGTGGTTAAGTAGAGAGCATTGTATCAAGAGAATAATTAATAGTGAAAATTTCAGCCTAGTTAGTTTTAGGAAGTTAGTGAAAGAGCTCATTTAGGATAGATTGAACTTTAAGGACCCCACAATATACTCTACAACTAGTTAGATACTGTGTCAGTCAGGAAATGTGTTTCTAACATATCATGGAACTGTATGACCAAGAGTTGATGACAAACTTAGCAAATCAAATTTTGTAGCTAGTATTTATATTTCTGAAATTATGTTAAATTATTTGTGTAATATTAACCATTTATTAATTAGCTGATCTGATTATATAACTTTATCACTGTAATTAGATAGAAACTAAAATACTTTATGCCAGTATGTAAAGTTCAGTTTTTTAAGTATTATTCAACAAGACAAAATATCTCTTTTTATAATGGGCCAGTTCTTTCTCTTTCTTTCCCTCCTTCCTTCAAACCTTCTCTTCTTCTGTTCTTTGTTTTTCATGGTACTAGTAAATCAAAGCCAGGGGCCTTGTGCATAAAGTGTTCTACCACTGAGCTATATCCCAGCCTGATTGTGTCATTTACCACTGAGCTAAATCCCAGCCCAATTATGTCATTTCTAACAAAAACCTAAAATTTAGAAAGTGTCATCTATTTTAAGAATTGTTTTTCTCAGCTCAGTTGTGGTAGCTCACTTCTGTAAGCCTAGCAACTCAGGAGGATGTAATCCAGTTCAGGCAGACAAATCCAAGAGACTCTTATTTGCAATTAACCAGCTAAACGTTGGAACTAGAGACATGCCTCAAATAGCAGAGTCAGACATGAGTAAAAAAGCCAAGCAAGATCTTAGAGTTCAGAGTTCAAGCCCCAGTTTAAGTTCCTAAGCCAGATTTGTCCCCAAATTCCTCAAGCTATGTGATCTCTTGATATGAATTATCTCAAGTAGTGTAGTTTAACCTCAGAGATAACAAAGCTTTTTTTTTTTCAAAATCTTGATGCTTCTGTTCCTATTTCAAAATAAGCACCTGTCTATGTAACTACCAAGAACCTATCTAATATAATTTCTGACAACATGTCATTATGAAATTTGTTTATTGATTAGGTACAGATGATATATATCACCCAGGTATTACAAATAATTTAAATTAATTGCCTTTTCCTTGCTCCTCACTTTTAGTTTTACTCATTTTGTCTTTACCTAAAATGTTTTTCTGTTTGCTTATATACTATGAGTATAGTATTCTTTCATGTGAAGTTTCTTTTTCCTCTTTCAGCTCAACAAGAAGATGATGAATTTGTATGCCAGATAATTTATGTCTTCTACCAGATGGTTTTCCACCAAGCCACAAGAGATGTTATAATCAAGGAAACACGTATCCTTTCAACTTTTATATAATTACATTTTGCACATTAAGGAAACATACATCTTGGGTTTTTTCTTCCTGCAGATGTTGAAATACATATAAGCATTAAACTTGGAAATAAGTTTAGCTCACAGGGTGTTTTCCATTGGAATTGTTTATTCTAAGTTAGCACAGGTTGACTATCCCTAGTCTGAAAATCAGAAATCTGGGGCTGGGAAGGTGGCTCAGTGGTAGAGCACTTGCCTTGCATGCCTGAGGCCCTGGGTTCAATTCCTCAGCACCACATAAGCAAAAAGAAAAAAGCCGGAAGTGGTGCTGTGGCTCAAGTGGTAGAGTGCTAGCCTTGAGCTGAAGAGCTGAGGGACAGTGCCCAGGCCCAGAGTTCAGGCCCAAAAAAAAAAAAAAGAATCTTTAAAAAAAAAAAAAAGAAATCTAAAATGCTCCAAAATCTGAAATGTTTGGTAGAAATCTGCCTCATGTAAACAGTTACAGTCAAAACACAGGTGCACAGAAATTACCTTCAATCTGTGCATATAAGATATATAGAAATGGGTTTATGTTTAGACTTTGGTCTCTTCCCCAAAACACTCATTATGTAAAACTAAATACTCCAGAACTGAAATGAATAATCTGAAAGTAGGAACTTCTGTTTGCGAACATTTTGGATAAAGAATATTCAATCTATATGTGGATAAAATTTAATGAGAACAATTTATCAACTTGTCTAATTTTGATTCCTAGAAGCTTAAACATTTTCAGAACTTCCTTCTCTGTTAACTTAAATTTCAGAGGTTCCTAGGACTACTTAGTCCTCTTCTATACTCTATATGGGAAAGCGCATCTGTTCAAATGACTTTGGCTATCATCCATATGTCAAGTATTTAATAACTGCAAAACACCTCAGGAATTTTCTCTTAACTGCAATGGAGATATCTTCCACTGTGCCTAGCATAGTGCAATCTAAAGAACATTCTGCATGCTGTTGCCATTCAATGTCTGTTACTTTTTCTTGTAGTCCTCTATTCCTCTGAGTTGATTGTCTTTCAAAGTGAAATATTTTATACCTAGAAATATTACTTATAAATGACAAGGTAGATCTCTGGGAATAACAAATTTGCCCTCTTCAATACTAGCCTAGCAGAATATAGCTGACACTAGGCAGTTTTCCGCTGGCCTGGCCCGCATTTTGTTACCAGTGAGAAGTCTAGAGTCAGTCTGTTTAGTATTACTCTCCCTAAAGTCTGATGACAGGTTAGTTTCCTTTCCCTAAAAAAGCCTTTGCCAGGATATTTGTTTTCTTCACAATTAAGCTGTTTCACTACATTTTGAGTTGTTCTTAGTTATTTTTCTAAATATACTTTGCATATATGGAGTTTTGTCATATTTTAATCCATATCTGAAAAATGGTCTTGAATTGTAATTTTTAGCACTTTGTTCAATTACATTTTCTTCTTTTGTGTTTCTATTATATTAGCTTTTTATGTCTATACCTTTCTGATCTTTTTATTTGTTTGATTTTGTAGTTTTCTTTTTTTGCTTTCTATTTCCTGTGGCTTCTTTTGCATTTATTTTGTGTTATTTTACATTTAGTGTTGATTTGAAAAGATGTTTTCATCTTTATTTTAGGTTCTTTTCTGAATTATTTCTCTGAATTTTCTAATTCTGCTTCATGATGTTTGTTCATATATGTATTTATTATTTTAAAATCTCTGTCTTTAAAAATGCTTTCTCTAGTGAAAATATTTTTATCATATCTCCCTTTGTTTTTTGTTCTTATAATAATCATTTAGTTCAGTTTGGATGTGATTCTTTTCTGTTGTTCATTTTTATGTGAAGTAAGTTTACTTGAACTTTTATACCATAATAGATAAACTGATTCTAGGATAGGGGGACAAGGGGTATCAGTGGCTTACATCTATAATCTTAGTGAGGAGGCTGAAATCTGAGAATCAAGATTTGAAACCAACCTGAGCAGAAAAGTCCATGAAGTGGAGGTGTAAATCAAATGATAGAGTACCAGCCTTGAGTGAAAAAGCCCAGCAATAATGTGAGGCCCAGAGTTCAAGCCCCCAGTACTGGCATGAAAACAAAAGTAAAAAGAAGAAAGTTGTAACCTTAGCTACACAGATCAACAGCTACCTCTTTGTTGATTTTCATCATTTTCCTGTCCTCAAAACAATGGCCTTATACTTCCGATACTTGTTGTTGTTTTTTTCTCCTTACCTACATTTTTCTCTTTTGATGTCTCTACTCTGCTTACCTTTTTATTTTACTGAAATTAAATAGTGTTTTTGGTCATCTTGTACCAATGATTTTATATTAAAATATGAAGTAAAATTTCCGCTTAGCATTTAAATTTAGAGACTTGTGGGATTTTCTAATTGAAGGGTCACAATCACAGTTCAGTTTTGATCTTTAACCATTTTTATTCAGAAGCTCCAGCATATCTCATAGACCTGATGCATGATAAAAATAATGAAATCAGGAAGGTCTGTGACAATACATTAGATATAATAGCGGTAAGTATTCTTTTTACACAAAGTATAATAGAACATTTGGTAAATGTTCTGAACTGTTCCTTCAGTATCAACTTTGTATTTTGGTTAAAGCTTTAGAAATTCTGCGATACTGAATTTACTCTTTAAAGATAAGTTCTGTGACTTTTGACTTTTAATGATGGGCACTCTAAAGGGGCTTGTACATATTCCAAGTTGGACAAGCTACCTGTCATCTTGGAAACACTTGGTTTTCAGAGAAATTGTTCTATAGCAGGAAGTTTGATGACAATTTGTGACAAAATTATAAATCAATGCTAAAATCAGGCAACTAAATTTTTAAGATGAATCAAATTTTGTTAAGTTTTTTCCCACTATTTCAGAATTTTTGGTATATAGGTAGACTTGTTTTCTTTTACCTTTAGCATATACAACTTGCTTCCTTCTTTAAGCTGAATTTTAGCTCAACAGTTTTTAGCTCCTTAGTTATAACCTCTTCAGTACTTCTAAAAGTTTAACTTAGAGATTGGAGGCTTGGCTCGGTTGTAGAGCACTAGGCAGTGAGCAGGTGGCAGCAGGTTCTGGTCCCAGACCTAAGGGGAAAAAGTTTAACTTAGCTTTTTACACAACTATGATCAAGAAACAACTTCATAGTCGGCATTTCTGTTAGTGGCTTCATTACGAAGGTGAACAGTTCCTCGCAGGAGCTGTCCTGTCAGGTTCTCGTACCATATTTCAGAAATGGGTGTATTTGACGCCTGCCATCTACCTTTTAGATTTGACAATATACTTCGTACAGATCTAGAACTGAATTAACAAGAGATTTGATTTCTAAGCCAAAATAGATCTTTGCTCTACCAAGATATTGTATTTTGTGAGAGCAAGGGTAGCATGGCTTGTGAGTACAGAATATTTAATACTCCAAAAGAATAATTTCATTGCCATGTACTGTCTTCTAATAGATCCCCATGTCATTACATATAAAGTGCATAATGTAAGAATAACAAACATGTTAAAGGTGCACACATGTGATTATCTTCCTTTAAACAATGACAAAAGACTTGTTCGTCTGTTATACATCCATTCAGCGTACTTTTCACCTCTCTGTGGGGAAATATAAACGGAAGATAGCTGCAGGTTTACATTCGAGGTATCTCTGGGTTAGAATGTCAGCTAGCTCCAGAAGCTTGGCTCAGTTCAACCATAAAAATATATGGCATAAAATGTAAGTATATTATGACTGAAACTATTTTGATTCCCATTTCATATAAATTGTGGACTTGTTTCTTATCTCAAACTGGAGACCACTCCACAATACATCCTCTTTCTTTTCTAAAAAGGTACTGTTCTAGCTCTCTGATTCCAAAAACTGAAGTTTTTAAAAAATCCTATTTTGTCTGATTTCTTTCCTTCCTCTGTCCTCCTTGCAACCTATGCTAATCCTGTCTTCTTTCATTGTTGCACTAAAATGGTGCTCACTAAAATAAGCTCATGTTTCTGAATCCAATGAGCTTTTCAGTCTTTGTCTTGCTTTATGGATCATACTCTACTTGAAAGTACTTAGAATTCCTAGTCAGCATTATAAATGTAGAGCTACAAAGAAAATTATGTTTATTATCATAAAGAGCTTGTTAATGTGAGGACGTCAAAGAAGAATCAGCAAAATTAAATTGGTAATATAACAACTAGCTCTGATTGCGTAGGTCCCTAAGATTCTGTGTGATCACTTTTGAGTTAGTATTTAAAAAAAAATTGGAACAAGTAAATTGAGCAATTTAGTTCACCTAATCTCTCTATAAATCTCCATAAATACTGGAGTAAGTGTTTGATATAATGCCATGGAATAATGGATCATTTCACACTGTGGAAAACTTTATTCCGAAAAACTTACTATGAGAAAACGAGACTTATTAAAAGTATCCACATGTGGGTAATTTGGATGTCTGGCTATGCTGTTCACCTGGCTCATATTCATGGCTGAATTTCTTAGAAATCTAGTAGAGCTAATAGAAGGGCACCACACTGTGGAAACATCTCACATTCCACTGAAAGAATAGCCCTTGTGCTATTCCGTTACTACAAGGTTCAAGACACTGGCTCATCTTTAATATGAAATTATTGATCCTAAAACATTTTTCTGCTCTTCATAGTTGGGTTTCGGTTCTGGCCATAAATTGAATCTTTATCCTTCTTGAATTGGCAAGCTAATCATATCAGGATACAGCTAACTACTTTTCTCCTTTACCTGCTAAATAATTTCAGGCAACTCAACTTTTTGAAGACTACATTTATATATAATAAGACTTCCAAAGTTCAGAGACCTATTACAAGGATTAAAGAAAATATATATGATGTATTTACCACATGATGGTCATTCAATTTATTTCTGTTTAAGCTAGACTAACCCTGAAACATAGGTGAGGACTTTGTATGTAGACTAACTACCTGGGCCAACATTTTCCTTCCTTGGGACAACCAACTTTTATTTTTGTTGATTATTGTTGTTGTTTTTATTTTCTTCTTGATTTTTTGAAGTGGCATGGGAAGATAATCTGTTCACTATTTGAAGTTAAACGGTGGAACATTATTTGGAGGATATATTTTGACCATACATATACTGTTTATAGTTTACATTTGAAATTGTTCCAGAAAATGGCTAAATTTGGCATTGGTAAACTTCATGTCAGGGCACTAAACTAATTCAGACAAAACTAAAAGGAATTGATCATGTCATTTACCTAGTAAATAGGAAGCTACCTTTGCTATTGTTAAAATGCCTTATTTGGTAATTATCCATATTCTAAATTTCTGTTTAGCCTGGGTTTTGGTCTAAGTTTATAAATTAGTCTCAGACCAAAAGCTGCATTGTTAGCTTGCTGAGAAGTTTGAGAAATAAGCCATCTTACTGTATTACATACAAACATCTCCTAGTTTCACTGGGGAAATAGCTACCCATAGTTACACCAGAGTGTCTGAGCCTGCTTTATCACAACTCATCCTGATAGTTATCTTGACTCTTTTTCAAGAATAAAGCAAGAGGAAATTAGCATAATTTAATTAAATATAACAAAGGTGCTGAAACACTGAAAAATACTTATCAAAGGAGACTACAAAGACCTGTGTGTAGTAAGCACTAGTGACCCTGTTTAGGGTAGGAGTGGATGATGTCTCTGGATTCTTCTCACTGCTAGATTGTGGCTTGTCAATATTCTCAACTTTGACTATATTGTATAAGAAGAAGAAATCTGAAATACAGGGATTGGAGCTATTTTTAAAAGCTCAAAATCCGGAGTGGACCTATTTGTATTTAAGGTTACAAACATTTCTGTCACTTATTTGTGCAAGCCTTATTTGTGCAAGTAAAGGCTTGTCTCTAAAATTATGCATATATTGCAGTAGTGATGATTTGATTAAATAATTGGTCCCAAGGGTTGAATTGATAACTTGAAACCTGGGCGGTGGTAGTACTTTGTGCGCTGAGGAGGATTACATTACCTGTATTACATGATGCTGAAGTCTTTCTAGACTCATCAGTAAGTTGTTAGTGTTTGTCTAGGTTACTTACAGTTTTGAGAGGAAGGGAATGGCAGTTACAGAGGAAAGCAGGAAGGCCAAGAGAAAGAAGCCCAGCAACTTAACCTACCAAGATTACAGGGCAGTTGACCCTGCCTTTATCTTCCAAGCATTGGGAATCTTCAAAGAAAGAGCAGAACCTACACATCTGATCTAAGGAGCTTCTAAAATTGATAGACTTTTCTTCAACATATTCTCAAATTTGTGTTGTGTTTAAGAACCTCAAAAGCTCCCACATTTACCTAAAATGTCAAATACCTAAAACGTGATTACTCAATATATACTATGTCTCCAACACTAAGATAGATATTAAGAACACAAAGCTCAGCAACCTCAAGTTTCTTGAATATCAAAGTTTAGTCTAAACTTGGAGAACTCCAGGACTGTTACCTAAACACATGAGCTACTCTTTCAGAAAGTGTCCTATTTGAACCTATCAGCAGATGTGCTGTCCTATGACAGTGTTTATGAGAAAAGAGATTTAACTAGTTTTTCTGGTAAAAAAAAAAAATTGATGTTTCATGTCTTTCTAGCCAGCAACAGACTTGGCTGTAGATTTTGTACTAACATAGATTGTATTACTGAGATTTTGAAATAGTATCTTTCTTTTCAATAACTCTTAATTATGATCATGAATGGATTATATATTTTAATAACTCAACATCTATTATTTTAAACTTGGAAAAATAACTAATATCTCCATTTAAAGCCAGACAATTATATTTAGTAAGACTGGCGTATTAAAATGAGATAAATCAGCACAGGTTTAAATAGCCTCTTTATTTATGTTAGAATCCCCACAAAGGTATCCAGAAAAGCCTGCACCAGACAGAAACATGGATTTATTAGTAGTCTTTTCAGTAAGGGAGAACATCTTAAAAGGTATCTCATGATACAGTGAAAAGAAAATATAGTAAAGGCTTTATTGAGTTAGGCAGAGAACTCAAGAGATGCCTTTGTAATTGCAGGGAATGGATAAATAAAATTGGTAGATGGTAGTCACTTTTAATTGACAGGAACAGGGATTTTTCAAGCTGTTGACAGTAACTTCTTCAGTCCTCTTTCCAGGGTATAGCTGATTCTTGGGTTGTTTTTGTTGGTGGTGGTGGTGGTGGTTGGTTGGATTTTTTTCAGCCTTTGTAATTCAAAATTTCACAGTGTAAGTTTGGATTTTTTTTCTGAGTTTTTTCTTTTTTTCTGGGGTTCACTTGATTCTATAAAATTAAATTGAATTTAATGAGAAAAGTTTGGTTGATCCTCTTTTGTAGTTCATTTTTATATTCCATAAACAGAGGCAAAAACAGGGTATTTTTCCAGCTTGTTAGAATTTTAAGTATACACAAAAATGTACGTATACATGGATGTGTATGTATATTAATTGCCTGGTCATTATTCATCTTACTTTATTGTTTAATTGACTACAACTGAACTTAAAAGACCCAAGCATAATA